CGGTGGTGGTGGTGACCGCCAGTTCCGTAGGAACGATCGGTGAGGCTCCCCTCTACCATTGCATATTCTCGATCGAAACCGATAGGACAACTAGCCCGCGGCACGGCGGTTGTAGGCCTTGGACTTCTAACTAACAGGTCGCGAATTCGAGCCCCAGGTGTTCCACACTTTGGGGATGGGTATGACTGGCTGACAACGGCAAATTAGCTAGAAATGGCCATTCCAGTCTCCCTTGTCTTTGTCGGTAACATTCTGCCTTTGCGAAATATCTTAGAATTGGCGACCACGTCATAAACGATAAATTGTTAAATGCGATTAGAGAAATCTGAGCAATTTTGAGATTAGTTGATATGCGGCGATGGTCCATTTGTCTATTCAAGTAAAGACACGGAAACTCAGTGGAGTAGCCTGAAAAAACGTATATATTAGAAGAGATATTTTTAAAGGACTTTCAACGCTTGCCACACCTGCTTAGCAGCCAGTTATGAACAGGTAACTTCTGAGAGCCGTTGCTAAACCCGAATGAGCTCTAGTTTGCCTAAATAACTATAAAAGAGTAGGCAAGAACGGCAGGATTTATTGGCACCAAAAAATTTCGCGACTGCTCTTCAGCTGCTTCCTGTCGCTTCATAAGAGGGATAACGAGTGAGAACAATACAACAGATTTGAATTCATGCAGAAAATCGATGCAGAAACAGCAAGGTTAGGGTTTTGGGCAAAGTTGGCTAATCGATAAAGTTAGTAACACAAACGCCGTAGGGGAAGAAAGTGAAAAAAGGAGGAAACGTTAAAGAGCAAAAATGAGAGGAGAGAGGGGGAATCATGGAGCCAGAGGCTACCATGGTAATGTTAGGTTAACCACGTGCTCCAATTGTTTACAAAGATCAGGTTTCACTCGTCGTATATAGGCTGCCTCCGGGTAACGCAATGTCCGAGTTGTTCGTGCCCGAACAAGTACTCGGAAGGAAGTTTTGGGGTCGACGGTGTGACCTTTAAGGGCGACAGTATTTTAAATACTATCAAACGACGGCTACGTTCTGCCATTGAAAGGACATACAATGCAGCCGAACTAGTATTCTGCAGTCCTACTAAGCCACTTCCGATTCCACGGGCAAAGGATGCCCTGCCAATGCACGCCACGTCAAATTGTGTTTATGAATTCACATGCACTTGCGGATGCAAGTACATTGGGCGAACGCAAAGGCAGTTGGCAGCCAGNNNNAGGAGGAGGAGGAGGAGGAGGAGGAGGATGAGAAGGAGGAGGAGGAGGAAGAGGAGGAGGAGGAGGAGGAGGAGGAGGAGGAGGAAGAGGTAGAATAACAACAACACCTGCAGTCAGGGTATATCTTGACGCTGTTCTTTTCCCATATGAATAACACAGTTAATCATTAAAACAACGGTACGTGCTGTGAATTCAGAAGTTGAGCATAGAACAGTACGGACTGTCGCCGTGAAGACGTTCAGGTTGGTTTTCAAGAATTACGACTATCAGGCAAATGCCTGCATACTACCCTTTTAAAAAGTCTGCTGATTTGTTTACACGCGAGATACTTCTATGCGCTTTTGAGGACTTTGCAGCAATTTGAGGAACAGGAGGGTCTTCAGGTTGCAGAACCCTTAGTTGAGGAAAATTTGTTGCAGTCAGGGGAACTGTTATCCGGAAAATAATAGGATCAAGGAACGACTTGGAGATAACTTAGGGTTTGAAGGTTTCGGTGGCATGTGTTCGATGAGCGAAACAACGTCAGTCTAGAGTGTACACCTCTTCATCTTCTCTCCTTCGCTATTCTCCCGCACAGTTTGGTATCGATACTCTGATAGTACTAATATCAATAACAGTAATGCTTATATTCTGGGATAAATAGCACTAGATGAAAATAAAAATGGGCCCAAACTTATTGGCCATTGAGCTGCCTCGGCCGCAGGACATTGGAAAAGCAGGCTTGATGGCTGAAACAGTGATTTTGTTCGCCTGTGATTTCGGTTTCATTCAAGAACCGATAAGCGATAACAGCAACGCCTGGGAAAAGTAGTAACTCCAGCATTCATCGCAGCGGTTTCCACTTCGCACGATGATGCCCTGGTCGTCCGCATCCGAGTCGTCAACCGCGTCAAGTTCATCAATGTTGTTGGTGCTTGATGCGATAATTACTCAGCAATTTGCTCCACCAAATCTGCCGCCGAAAGCAGCGTTTACTTTCGCGATTCTGTTAGACTAATTACTCAACCAAGGGGAGGTCAAAAGAAAGAAGTGAGAACGATTGTTGAAAAAACCTGAACAAGAGAACTATGATTCACATGCTCTTCTCTCTTTCTCTCTCTCTCAGATGTTAATGTTAAGATTTAAGGTTTAGATGGGATCCTTCTAGGGAGCCACGGTTTACGAGGTGGCGTCAGTCTTCTCGTTGGTTATGCGTGTTCAGATATCCGCGTCTGGCGTTGTCTTTTTGGTTCTCCTGTTTAGTTGCTTTGTTACAATTAAACCAGGCTTGCTTGACTACTCCAGACATTCACTGCTGTGGCAGCGGATCTTTTGGGCACATTGCTTAACCCTAACAGCTACCTTCGGTCTATATGCAACCCCAGGCCTAAGTGCTGTGATGTGGTGTAGTCATTCTTGACGTGCAGGAGCACTCGGTAAATCTAGTGTTTGAATCGATTTTATCTCTTGTCTCATTTACACAAGCACCAGTTAACAAAGTTACATGGATGTTCATGCACGTTAAGCTGTGCCGAGGCGCCAGACTACCTTGCCTTTCCCTACCTGTTCCTCATTCTTGAACTTACGGGTTGTTTAACTGAATGGAAGGAACACAACTCGACGCGACGCGCTTGGCATGAGTTGGATTGTCAGGTCGTTTGACTTTTGATTGTTAATTCCTTCATAACTCTGATCTTATCCTGATGTTCATAGTCTGGGATTGACGGTTCTGTCTTTAGCGCTCGCTACAAAGCCTCCATAAAAAGCATTGTAATCCAGTAGCCTTCGTTTCCGATTCGCTGGAATAGGTCCCAACGGGTCAATCACATCTGCGACTAAGGGCACGGTTGCTGCTTAAGCCAACTACTTGCATCACGTTTGTCGCCTAAATAAACATTCGAGTCATAATGGTATTACCGAAAACCGACAGGGCAACGGGCTCGTGGCCCGGTGGATAGAGGCGTGGACTTCTAAACCAACAGGTCGCGAGTTCGAGGCTCGGGTGCTCCACACTTCGGGCTTGGGTATGGCTGGCTGACGACGGCTAATAAGCCAGAAATGGCCATTTCAGTCTCCCTTGTCTTTGTCGGTAATACCATTCTGCCTATATATCATGCGCCGCTGTGCGGCTGCTGGTTGGGCTCGAGTGAGAGCCCTTAAGGCACAACGGAACGAGTGAGTTCCGTATGAACGATCAACGAGCGCCCCCTAACATTCAAACATTCGAGTTTTTATTGTAACGTAAGAGGACATCAAGAAATATCCAACGATTGTCATCTTTCTGCTCAATCGTGATTTGTACATCCGGGCGGACGATTTTGAAATGTTCACTGATTGTTATCTATTGATCTTAGACGACAGCGAAGATATCTCGTACATATTGTTCCGTTTTTTTGCACGACTGCTCTAACCATGAAGCCGTTGTAATAGCTTTCAGTCGTTCGTTGATTATGCCGTCCGACGTGAATCTCCTCCTATGACGGAACTTCGGGAGTTGGGGTGATGTGGGTATATCTAAAGCACTTGTGCGTTCCATTTTTACCGTCCTCCAGGAGAAATTCAGTAGTCTAGACAAACAAGACTAGAAAAAATAGGCAAAATTGAAGGTGGCTCTCTTGGCGGAAGACCAACCGTTTTGAAAATTTTTAAGTGCCGTGTTAACGAACTGGCTGTTGTTGTCGTACTATTTGCACGAAGGATGCAATCAAAGTTACGGGCCTGTAGATGTGATTGTTGCGTTGTTCTATAAACCATGCCCAGTTCGTCAAATAATTAGCAAAGTTCTTAGTTATGGCAGACTTTAGAACAGGAGAAAATACATTGAAACACAATCTGCACACCACTGGAGGATCTTCGGTTTCCCGTTAAATATGCCTATGATTCGCATGGTTTTCGGGTGGCCGACTTTGTCATTAATCGAATTTTACTTTTGTGTCTTGATTGGTCCATCCTGATTTATAACTGCAATGGCCCTAGTAGCTTAGTTGACAGAGGCCAAAAGTTACCACTTCGGTTAGGGCTCTCTGTGTGCATGTGGGTCGTCAGCTGTGCAGTTAGGACAATGACACCAAGCTGTTCGGTAAAACAGGCCGGTGTTCAGAGATCCGGAGAGGCATTCTGGTCGGAATTGCTTATATGGTTCTCAAACAGGACAAGCGAATAGGAACGCCCCGCCCACGTTATACAGGTGTCATTCTGCCTTATCCCGGGCAAGGTAGACATTCCAGAAGAAGAAGAAGAAGAAGAAGAAGAAGAAGAGGAAGAGGAGGAGGAGAAGGAGAAGGAGGAGGAGAAGGAGGAGAAGAAGAAGAAGAAGAAGAAGAAGAAGAAGAAGAAGAAGGAGGAGGAGGAGGAGGAGGAGGAGGAGGAGGAGGAAGAGGTAGGTGCGATCAAGGGAACAAGAAGTTTACTGGCCTGACGCTTCGGACGCTCACTTGAACCCATCATCAGGGGCGGTCTCAGATAAAGATAATGGATGCACAATGACTGCAGTATTTATAGTACCTAGCTGCCGTGGTGTCGCATGCGTACTATAATTAACAGTTCTCGTTATCACGGCTGTGGGTCGTAATCAAGGCGACGAAGCTGTCTTTGTGCCTCCACTACCTTTATCTGCAACCGTGGGATTCGAGCGAGAATCCGAAAAAGCAGGCCAAAAAAACTTCTTGCATCTCCTTCTTCTTCTGACCTGCTTTCTTGCAGTTGCCTGTTTGCTTCTATCGTCAAGGTAAACATTCCCGTGTCCTAACCCTAACATTAATTCTGGTCCAAATCTTAACAGTATTCAAAATCATAATTCTTACCCTACCCTTAACCCCAATTTCCCTGTAATCTAGTGGTTCCTGTTTCCATTTCCTGTGGGGCGGCTATATAGGCACTCCCTGCAGTCTCTTTTTTATATTGTCCATCCTCGACTCTGGAGAGACACTTTATAACTTGTCAATTATCTTTTCGCGACAAATGTAAGAATTGGTCAGTTCGCTTGCACAGGTGTAGTGGATGTAGTGTAGTAAAACTCGCAATAGGTCAATGTTAGCACTGGCAGCCCAATTTTACGATTAACTTCCAAAATGAGTCTTTTCCATTATCACTGATTTTACTAAAACATATTGTACTGGAAACCTCATGTCTGTTGTTTAAAATGAGGTCAAACACGCATTGTCTAAAGGTCTAACTCTTAAACGATGGCAGTATCGTCCAAAGAATATGCCAAATGAACGGCAAGGAGTGTACGAACCATCACCACATTTCAAAAGGACAAAGATAGAAGGGTTTGATGCATTACAAGTTCCGGGTTTATGTGCATCAATGTTAAGTGCGAATTAGTGAAGACTCCAGTTAGATTAAATGCTTTAATCAGGAATCATTGACTGAACTAACTAGATAAACTCTCGAATGGATGGAAAATCGCTTCAGTGGGCATATACAATTGATAAATGCGGCGGATATTCATAAACAAATATAGCAACCCTAGGATATCGGCCTTTCAAAAAGACTTTTTCCTAGACTTCTGTATCACTCGCACTTACGGAAACATTACCGGGACAGTGTATTTGCAAAATTTTTGAAGAAGAATCGTCTTTTTAGCCCTCCACCTTTACTCATGGACATTTTTTCCGCCTCAACAAAAGAACTCGATTAAATGACTAGATGAAATGTGAGTCTGTCCAGTGATGATTTGGGCCAAAATGCTATGCCGCTCGAACGAAAACGATCAATACCGCAAAAATGACAATCAAAATTTCCCCGAACTTTTCGATATTTGTTTGAGTTGCAGGATTACTGGTCGCAATGCGAGAGATTGCGAGGGCTCTAGACCAAACTTCTAAACCTAGCAATGAGATCTTATTTGTACTGTAATTAGATCGAGTTAATGTATGCATGTACAGTAGGCGGGCTAACTCATGAATTGTCAAACGAAATTCCGAAATACGTTTTCGTTCCGAAAAGATTAATTAAGTAGGGTTGTAAAACTAGTCATCTTGCAACATAACTCTATGATATTGTAGTTATCTCAGAATACCGGCTTTCGAATGAACTTCCTTCCAGGTGCAAGTAAAAATTATACTCCGATAAAATGACCATTTAGGTAGCATGATTTTTTCCCATTGATTTTCGATGCTCCTAGAAGTACAATTATATTTCATGGAAAACATGCATAAAAATATTCTTCTTTTGCTCATTCGGTAGAAAATTACGTCTTCTTCTAATTTTATTCTCGAATAAGGGACATAATTCGGTTTTAAAAACGGTTCTAATTATGGGACTTTTTAATACCGTGAAATGGCCGTTCATAAGTCATGTCTCCGCATTTACCAATGTGGCTTGTAAAGTTAACAATATGGATCAAATCCAATGTTAAATTTTATGAATCCTATATGGTCCCCCTTTATTACCGTAGAGAAATGTGTGGTTTTTCGTACGCGGAAAATATACGGCTTGTAGTTTGGAAACCCTGAATCCAAGTGTAACGGTGGAGCGGGTTCAAAATTAGTCGGAAATTGGAAAAGTTTTTGAAAAGCGAATAATACTCTTCTGTCGAGTACAGGATTGGAAGACGACGTAATTATCTACAGAATGGACAAAAGAATGAATATTTTGATGAATGTTTTCCATGAAATATAATTGGACTTCTAGGGGCATCGAAAATCAATGAGGAAAATTTATGCTACTCGCCTCTGTCTTTACAGAGTGCAGTTTCTGCATGCAGCCGGATGGTGCTTAGGGTTAAAATTGACCGCATAGAGCGAGAAAAATTCCGCCACCTTTATTTATCGGTCTACCCGTAAATCTTTCGCCCTTCAACTCTGCTATTATAACTAGACGGACTTCGACCAGGTAGTCAATTGCCTGTTCGTGACCTCTACCATCCATACGAAGCTTGTCTGATTCAAGAAACCAATGGATCTGTGTGCGCCCACTCCTGATTGAATGCGCACCCGATCGGCAGCCACAGAGAATGGCAAGTTGCGAGGCACTGATTAACTTCGGTTCGATGAAGTGCTTATGACCCATCTGCTAGAACCCGTCTGTGGACCATCTGCGCCGCGTACGAGCGGGTTTTATTTTTCTGTTCAGAGTTGGTGGCCAGTTTTATAATCGGTTGAATGAAAGCAAAATAAGCCAGAAACAGTGCTGTATCAATCTACCCCCCAGACTCTGTCGTCTCCCCTCTGCTATCATACCTTGGCCAACTTCGGCCTAGTAGGTGGTTACCTGTTCGTGACCCCTATCGCCCATACGAAGCTTGTTTGCTTTGGGAAGCCAATGGATCGGTGTGCGCTCATTCCTGAGTGAATAAATACCCAATCTGCAGGAACAGAGGATGACAGGTGGCTAGGCACTGATGAACTTCGGTTCGATGAAGTGTCCATGACCAACCTGGTAGACCCCGGTGGTGGATCAACTGCGCCAGGTGCGTCTGTGCGTATGTTTGTGTTTTTGATACCAGCTGGTGGTTAGGCTTATGATTGGCTGAATGAAGGCAAACAAGCACGAAACAGTGCTGTTTCAATCTACCCCCCAGACTCTGTCGTCCCCTCCTGCTATCATAGCTTGGCCGACTTCGGCCTGGTAGGTAGTTACCTGTTTGTGACCCCTATCGCCCATACGAAGCTTGTTGGCTTCAAGAAGCCAATGGATCGGTGCGCGCCCATTCCTGATTGAATAACTACCCGATCTGCAGCAACAGAGGATGACAGGTGGCTAGGCACTGATGAACTTCAATTTGATGAAGTGCCCATGACCCACCTGGTAGACCCCGTCTCTGGACCACCTGTAGCGTGTGCGAACAAAGTTCGGTCTGCATCGTTTTGCGCCTATTTCTGTAACTAGATGGGTAAACGCACTTCCAACATGGCTAAAATTCCGGTTCACGGCCGACAGAACGAGCGATTTCATGTCTCAATGGTTGGTTACTGGACTTAATAACGCTCGATTCCCGATGAAGGTGGGAAATAATGAACTTCCTCGAAAACGCGTGTTTTCATTCTGCGAGGCTGATGGGCATACCGGTAGTAAGTCAGAGGTTGGACAAATGGCTCTTAATCTGACGTTCAAAGTTATACTCTGTTCAACCGCACACTGCTCAACGAATAGTGTACGGTCCTATGGGCATATTGGAGCGATGGGCATCGATTGGGGTGGAAGAGGTAGAACATGGACTTCCGTCTTTCGTCGTAAATCAAGTATAGGAGGATTCAGAAGACGAGGTGGCGAACATACGTAGCTTTCGATAAATTTTCGTCGGGCCAGTACAATTACATGGGGGGTAGAAGTAAAAACACATCAATGATTAAAGCTCGCCACAAAACAGACGGTGAGTGTGGAAATGTGGAGAATTGTAATCCCCAGTGAGTGGTAGAAACCGGCTACTGCCGCTGGGCCTTCACGGACCGGGGTGACACCGGTACATTAGGCAGCCCGATTATGCTGGTTTTTACTTTACTTTGAAGGACGGGCACCCGCTGAAAGCTCAATTCAAACCGTACAAAGCAATGTTTTAACAACAACGGATCTTTCACCAGAACCGTTTAATGTAGGCGTTATAGGTGTAGGAATTCCTGCGCAGGACTTTGTGCGAGGAAAAATCGATCTGCCGGTTAACTAAGTACTCATCCGCGTTTCAGACTTCGATCAGCCCCCGACTAGGACAATGATTTAACTAGCTTCCAGCTCGAACCCTCGACCTAGTTCTAAGATGGGACAGAAGCCTATGTCATTTGGTCAACCGACTGAACAATTTGCTGTTGTTCGTGTATTTGTGGTACGAACTTTCGTTCGGCCTGACCTGTGTAATTACGAAAGCAGTTTAAACAGGGAAGACGAGAGAGTAGCTGAGTTACTCTCACGGGCAACACTGGCTTCTGATCCTCGTGACTCAGCTATGCGCGGTAGTTTTGGGTCAGCGTACAATCACAACATCCAACCCACCCGGCGACGAGGTAATGCACTCCTGAAACGGCCTTGCTGCACATGGCATGCTATACTTCGGGTGGGCCCCCCACGGACGTTTGTAATCGTGTATCTCGCCCGGTAAGTACGTTTGGCACCACTGAGTCAGACGTAAGATAGAGTCCCGCCATAATTTTCGAAAGTAAATTCATAATGGATATAAAATGCTGCCTCCTCGCCCTTTACCTGGTGTACTTCGTTCTGCATAGACCGCAGCCCAGCTTGGCAGAAGATAAACTGCGGTATGTTAGGGGTAGATCAGGCCACTGAGCGCATTGCCACTCCCAAGACTGGTAATATTCCGATCAGCGTAACGCTTGTTCTATCGCAGACCTCTGCCTACAGATGCTGTCAACGCCACGTTGCGGCATGACTCATGCAGCCAGTGATTAAAGTAAACGCTTCATTGGCAAGGTCAAGAAATGACAGGTGCCAGCCGACTTATCCGTCTATTTTACGAGACCAACACTCGTGCCCGGACCCGAGTACCGAGGCCAAAATTGTGAAGTCAATGCGCACCCTTGCCACGACTGTGTTTCGGCCTTTCTGTACGGTTAAATCCTTATGACTGGTGTCTCTTGTACGTCCTTGCGAGTAGGTACCTGCGATTGCAGTGGTTATACCTAACTCATTAGCTAGACCGCTACAATCTTACCGATCATGGGTTAGGTTCCTGTCTGTCCACTCACGACATTTCATCCGACCAACGACTAAGCCTGCAGCTAGCCTGAAAAATCCAGTGGAGGCAAAATACTGTCTGTAGTCTCAAAGTGGCGTTATCTGACGCTAAGCCTGACGGCTAACGCGATCAGATAAAGCGAGGTTCATCCGGGCACCGTCTTCGCGGGCGCGACTATTTGCACACAAGGCTACTTTTTCCCGCCTCACCGACGGAATTCCCTACGAGAAGCAGATCTGTCCTAAAGGATCCCTCCCTGGTGTAATTCGCTCTAAGTGGCAACCAGTGGTCTCCAAAAGGACTAAGGGTAGGATTCAATATCTTTAACACTTTATTGATCAAGGTCCTTGCTTGAAGAGTAAATAAATAAAAAAGCTACTTGAAGTGGTTGCCACAAGCGGGCTGATGGGGATCAGTGGCGGGGAGGAGGGGGAGGCACTTTCTGCGTTTTTCGAAAATGGAAGACAAAACTGAGAAATAGCGCCTTGGAGGGGACAGACACTCTCCAAAGCAGAAATTCAGGACAGTAAGGCACATACGTATGTTTATATACTCTTTGGAACTGGCTGCAAACACCCAAAGGGTACTTTCCTCCGTTGAAGGCGGAGGATTGTTGTCCCTGAGGGAGACCAAAATGGTAAACGATGACATACACACACATACAGAGGAATCTCATTGGAGGATGAGGACTTTTGATCATTTCCCCAAGGTCATCCATCGATAAGGGTTGTTCCTTCTTAATACTATGTGCGTATTCGTGCATGCTATGAACAGTCAAGGTCACTTTCGTGAACAGGCGTACATGTAAAGTAAGCAGTTGATTGTCATGGTGCAGGCTGGGCAGTAATAATCTCTGATGCTCGCAGCGTCGCCACTGCTATGGTTGATTGTGGTGGCGTTATTGTAATAGCCAAATCGGCAAGCCGTGGCGAGAGAAAGGCACAATAAATAAGGTCCCACAGGGTTAGGCTCGCAAAGCCAAGATGATAAGCAGATGGGTGTTCGCGCGGACGTGCATACTCCCACAGAAACACGTACAGGAGCAAAAATGTAAGACAAATTGTGAACAAAATTAGAGACCGGCAGTGGAAAGCGCAGCTTCGTGTCAGACCCTGCCGTCAGCATACTTCGTTGCCCCTGTAGACAGGCTGGCGCTTACAGATCTTTATATATATATATATATATATATATGTTATGTGAAATTTTCAATTTCGGAAACTCCTGTTTCGAGAGCGCCTGACAAAGAAGGCGTAGAGGAGGCGGAAGACTGACTTTGACGCAGCTGCTGTTGCAGGTGGTTATGATTGTTAGTCAGGGAAGGCGAGGAGTTTTCATCAACATCACAGAACGTCGCCAGCCCGGGCGATATTATGAAACCAGTCATCGCGTCCTCCAGCACCTCAACATGCTCCCGCACCTGTTCGCAAGTGTCTCGCAGAAAGGCGACCATATCTGCATCAAATTGGCGTCCCCAGTCAAGAAAGTCCGGAAGTTGAAGGCGCCGAGGAAGCCCGTCGCCGACATGATCAGCTGCCGCACAAAAGACTAAAACTAGACGAGAATTCAGGGCTTGGAGCTGCTGCAGATCGGTATCGCAAAGGGGCGCTTCCTGCGAATTTGGTGGCTGTGTCAACTTAATTGCCATGAAACTGCCAAGAAGGATCGGATTTTCAGCCAGGAACTTGTGCAGTTCGTAGACATAGGTGTCCAGATACTGCAGCGTTGGAAAGGCAGAGCTGGTGGTACGGGTAGTTGAAACTGTCGTCACTTCAGATAGACGCTGGCTCAGTTTAGAGAGGCTAATGAAAACACGATGCTTCGGCAGCACCTGGAAGCAGACGTCAATCTGAGACTGCGAAACCGCCGCAGGCGGGAGGTGTGTGTCTGATTCAGATTCGGACGATTCAACCTTGGCGGGACCGGGGGACTTCATCGGAGTTACTTGAGTCTCGAAGGTGGCAGGGGAGCTAGTCAGGTGCGCTGCAGGCCAGGTTTTTGGGGCCCCAAGACCGCACCCCAGGGGTTGAATAATGGATTTGGCGAGGACCACTGGAACACAGTTAACCAGTCGATTCTAAGGAGGGGAAGGAGAAAGTTTGCATATAATTATTTCAGATGGCAATATTTTATCGCGTGCAGGTAAATTGCAAGACGGCAACCAGCAGTTTTATTTCTGTTCCAAAACTAAGCGGTTTGACCATAACAAGCGACAATCTGCACTGCACGCTCCCAAACAATGTGTGTAACAGCGGTGACTTCGAGTGGGTTAATTTGTAGTGCGACGGACTTGGGAGGCATCCACCGGACTCTCTCCTCTTGACATCGACTAAGAGGCGGACTCAAGACGACAGAAGATGGGTTTGGACTCAACAGCCGACAAAGGTTAACAACCCGTCTACGCGCGCCACACACGATCTGCGCCAGACTTATATGAGGGTGGCCCGGATCACGTATGCGTGAGAGTCATAAAGGCCGAACTAAGGATCCATTGCAGTCCGAATCCCGATCCCGAGGGAGAGAGTTATAGGCAGGATGGTATTACCCCTATCTGCAACCTGTTATTAAACGAGGGCGCATATGCTGCAGTGGGACGGTGAGTAGGATTAAAATGCGTAAGAACAAAGCTTTACCCTCTCCATCCATTTAGTGGTAGATCAAGTGGTAACTCTTAATTATATAATTAGAAACCCCTGTTTTGAATTGGTTTCTAAATCCACTGCCATCACTCCTCCCCCACAGCGACAATTTTCGCGGTTTTTGATGTCATCTCCCGCATTCCGACCTCATGCGGTCTGTCGACGCTCACGGCGGAACCCTCAGTATTCACTGTCTACTAGTAGTTCGGTCGTACCTCCCTTCCTCACTGCTCGGCTGAGCTCGAAGCGTGCTGTGGCCGATCGCATCGAGGTTCCTCTCGTCTGGCCTCTTTGACGCGTCGTATCAATCCGGCCCAGACGATCTCAATTGTGAATCCCATATACAATGCCATATGCAAGCCAGTCCTGTCTGACCCCCATTCGTACCCCTCAAGGCT